GTCAGTCCCTCTCTGGGCAGGAGAAGTGCCTGCTTATATAAACACAGCCACATCCCTGGGGAGCAAAGTGCTGGGAGCAAATCAGGAGATGGCTCTGCTGTTGAAAGGAGCAGATGGTGCTTATTAACGGGACAAGCACCATAAAAGAAACCTTTGAAGTGCCAGGGCTTTGTTGTTCTGCTGTTGGAGTCAATGGAACTTTAATGTGGGCTCCTGCTGGAATGGAACCAGGCTCTCCCCATTCTGAGAGTCTGCTCTTCCAGTCCCCCACATCTGCTTAGGTCAGAGCTTTTCTGCTCTGGTGTTTTGTGGAGTGTGCACTGGTTTGAAAGCAAAACCAGTGAGATACTCCAAGTCAGAAATATAATTTAATAGGGAAGGAGAGGAAAACAAAATACACGCAATAGTACAAAAGAAAAACCACTGACAGGGTCAGAATACAACCTGAGAGTTAGGGTGGTGGAAGCAGCCCAGATGAAGTGGTCTTGTTGAAGCAGTGATCCTGCTCTTGTAGCTCTTGTCCTCTGGAATCCAGTGGGTAAAGGCTGCTCTGATGTTCCAAATCTCAGATTTCATCTGGGTAGGAAATGTTTGGCTCCTCCCCCTGTGGGGAGGATCTCCCAATGGGATGATGGAATTTTATCAGTCATGCAGTGGGACTCCATGGCCCATTAACAGAAGATATCTCCCTGGAGGAAGGATGGGTCTGGAAAAGCTAAAGAACACTGTCCCAGCTGGTTTAACAGATGGTGATAGAACACAAACTTTTGGGCACATCTTTGCATTGTAACCATGGACAGGTGTCTGTGCTGTGTTTGAGGTTAGCACCAGTGCCTGCCCTGCTCTGTGTTGAGTCCTGACCCAGGGCATGGAGCATCCTCCTGGCAGGAATCTGCTCAGCCTCCAGACCCACAAAGGCAGGTGTTTCTCTTCTACCCAGCCCTGAGTGTTCCAGACCAGGTTGGACAGGACCTGGAGTAACCTGGGACAGTGGAAGGTGTTCCTTCCCATGGCAGAGGGTTGGAAGGAGATCATCTTTAAGGTCCCTTCCAACCCAAACCATTGTGTGATTTTATGATTCTGTGGCCCTGCAGTCAGCACAGCACGAGTTGAACCTGACTGTGGTTGTGCCATCCTTGGCAGCTGTGTCAGATCTGCTGGCACAGGACAGTGAGATCCTGTTGTCCCACAAAACAGAGCTGCTGTCACATAAATCAGAGCTGCTGTCCCACAAACCAGAGGTGCTGTCACACAGACCAGAGGTGCTGCACTCAGAGCAGCCCTCAGGCACCCCAGCCCTGCAGAAAACATCCCAATGCACTTTCCCTTTCCTCACCCACTCCTGGGCAGTGCCAAAGCACTTCAAGCCACTTCAGTTCTCAGTCAGCTTTGGGTGCTCCTCGAAGCCCTTGCAGGGCTCCTGCTGCTCCCTGGCAGGGGATTGGGAAGTGAAGGTCAGTGCCAGGATCTTCAGTTTCACCAGTGGGGAAAACAAGGCCCAGAGCAATTTTACCCACTGCTGGGAATAAACCCCAAGTTTCCATCCACTTTCCTAGATGATGAATAAGGGAAGACAGGACATCTAAGCTACAGTGCTTTAATTCACTCTTAGAATGATTTTAAACGAGTGTTTTATTGTTGTTGGTGACCAGTGCTTTCTGAAAAGCTAAAGAGAAATCAGTGACTCATCCTGGCTGGGAGCATCCCTCTCTTTTGTGTTACTTTGGCACGATCCTGCTTAGAAAGCAGTGCCACTGCATTTGTTTGCCTGCACCAAGAAAGCTTTATCCAAATGAGCCAAACTTCGAATCTTTCCTCTCTGAAATGGTCACATTATCCAGGGATGTCTAACACCTGCTTGGAAACCTCCAGGGATGAAGAAGCTCCAGCCTTCTCAGCCAGTGTTCATTCCAGAAGGAAGCAGGATTTATGCCACAGTCTTTCTAATGCTGGCTAATGAGCTCCTGACATTTCCCTTTGAGAGGGCTGCTGGATTGTGTCTATTTAGTAGAGCGTGTTTCAGTGTGCTTTTGCAAAGTGGAAACGTGGTGTGTCTGAAACAAATGGGGCTGTTTATCCAACAGCAATCCACAGAGGTGGCACAATCCCAGCCATGTGCTTGGAGATGATTTCCAAGTTTCAGCTCCATATTTCTCCTGCCTGCTGCCTTTGCTCCTCCTCCCAGCTCTGCTGCATCTTGTGGAGCAGATCCCAAAACCCTCTCAGATCTGCTGCATCTTGCTGTGGAGCAGATCCCAAATCCTCACAATTCTGCTGCATCTTTTTATGGAGCAGGTCCCCAGAACCCTCACAATTCTGCTGCATCTTGCTGTGGAGGAGATCTCCAAACCCCACCCATGCTGAGCAGCATGTTGGGTACATCTCATGTGAGCTAACTTTAGAGATCTGAGGCAGTTTTGATCATTACAGTGTCAATAAATGATGGGATTTAGCCCACCCCAAGAAAAAGGGATGAAGTTGTCCTCTAGAGAATCCTATTTCTCTGCTCTGACCAGAGAGGGACTCTGCCTTAGATTGGACACCCAGACCACCAAAAGGAGGGGAGATAAAGCCTCTGCTTGGTCTGCAGAGTCTCCTATTTGTGAGGTTGGTTCAGAGAGACAATGTGGCTTTGGATCAGAGAATTAAACATAAATATTTCATGACTTCTGAGATGCTCTGCCCCAGCCTCTCCCAGCTCTTTCCCCAGGGAAGCACAAGTCTCTAAAGGCTCTGTCTCATGTCTCTCTTCCCTCTGTGGGTATCAAGGCTGAGCAAAGGCAATAAACTCCTACATTTCAGCATCTAATGTGAATATTCTTCCACATTAGAACTTGCACTTGACAAATTCTGTGTGATCCAAATGTCCTCACAGATGGATATTTTCACTCAGGAGGCCACTCTGCTCACCAAGGGAGATGCAGAAAAGAGAATTTTCCTCACTCAAGGGAGGACATTTGTGCTGGAAAGCTGTTTCTTCCAATAACTTGCAGGCTTTGACCTCTTTTTTTTTTTTTTTTTTTTTTTTTTTTTTGAGGAAAAACATCAGTCAGAAATAAAGATACTTGTCAGGATTTAGAATTCTCAGTATATTTTTATCAGTAGATGGAGATTTTTTTTTCTCCAAAGCAAAGATAACAGGACCTGTGAAATCAGTCAGATTGGAGCTCATGTCAGCTGCTCCTTAGAGATGCTGACTGAACATGCCAAAGTTGAAACACTTGAGTTAAAATTCTTTCTGAAATAATGAAATCTGTTAAAAAGGATTTAAGAAAAAAAAAAGTTTGCTCTGAATTTATCTTTTGAAAAAAAAATCATCTTTTGAAACTTGAGATTCCCCATAATAATGTGATTTCAAGCAGTGCAGCAATGAGTGAAACAGAATAACTGAGGTTTTCAGGAATATCAGAAGCGTTTAGTCACACTGCACAGAGGAATTGAGAGTCCAGAGTGAGAAAAATCAAGCTTCCAGTAAAATAAATCCAATTTATAGGAAGCAACTGTCCATCCTCACACAGCAGGCAGCTGAGTTAATCACTGTAGAGCACTTTGCTGTAAAAGAGAAAATAATGTCTTTCACATCATGATTTATCTGGGCTGTTCTGGCTCATGTCTGAGCTGTGCCCTCCCCAGACTGATCAGATGTCAGCTGGTTTCAGGAGGTCTGAAGGGGTTAACTCAGATGGAAGCCAGCTATTTACTTCTGTTTGAATTTGGCAGATATTTACTGTCCAGGTATTTATTTCTGAGTGAATATTCCTCCCTCCAGCTGTCCCATCCTTTCTGCATTGGACATTTTTCACAGAAGCCCCTCATGTGTCTGCTCCTGTGTTTGCAGGTCCCAGTTAACCATGTTTGCACTGTTCTTGTTTTCCTCCTGTTTTTTATTTGACCCACAGTGATTACAGGAACGTGGGAGGAGAATATTGCCAACTCTACTTCTGCCTTGTCTTGGAATTCCTTCTTTTGAGTACTAACAAAGCAAAAATCGTGTCCCATGGTAATGGATTTGTTTGTAATCTGACAGGGAGGAAAATGATGGTAAATTGTAGGTTTCAAATGCAGGGAGGAGAGTGCTGTGCTAATCTTTCCAGGGGAGCTGTTCTGGTTATCTGTACTTGGTGATGACCATGAAATGTGAAGCTTTTCCCCATTCTTTTCTCTGGGGGATGTGTGATTGACTTTGTAGCAAAAGGGAAGCTCAAAATCCATTTCCATGGCGCTGAAAAAATTAAGAAGCTCCCAAACACGTGACATCTCAGCTCTTCTGGGTTATTTCATTCCATCTGGCCTCCTTCACACACCTAAGGTTCTCCCAGAAAGTTCCCTACTCAGTTTCCTCCTCCTCATTTCGAGCAGCATATGCCAGGCAGTTTGAGGGGGAAAAGGCTGCTTGTTGAAGTTGGTGGGTTCATGATGCAGGCTCCAAGGAGGTGATGATCACAGCTGACATGCTCAACACCACAGAACCCATGAGGAACAATCCCTCCAGAGACTCCCCCACAAATCTCCAAGGAAATTTCTCAGCGCTGGTGACAACATTTGTGCTGAGAGGGGAGGCTTTTTTAGGAAAAATATAGAATCACAGAATTATGAAAGTTGGAAAAGCCCCTTAAGATGGAGTGCATTAACCTAGAATTGCCAAGTCCAGCACTAAACCAAGTCCCCAAGTGCCACATCAGTGCACCTTATGAGCACTGGGCATTGCAGATTGGAATCTCCTGCCTGTATCCAGTTTTAGGGGCTGTTGGGAGCCTCTGGAACCACTCTTGGAGCATCCCAGCAGTGCCAGTCCTGCATGGCTGGTGCCAAGTAGTGACAGAGTTGTGTCCCCTCCTCTGAAGGGTCCTGCCCTTGCTGTTAGAACCCTAAAGCCTGGGAGTTTTGATCTTTCTGTGCTTTCTATCACTAACCCTCAAAAAACCACTACTTTTGACTTGAAGCCTTAGAGAAGGCTTCCAAATTTAAGTAACATAATTAAAACTACTAGTGTATAGTTTAAATAAAAATGTGTAATATCACATAGTGAAGAGTTTGAAATTCAAAGTTTCAGAATATAGTAATAAGTATAAACCAAAATGAAAGTCCTGAAGTGGTAGTTCTTCTTCCTTTTTGTTCCTTCTTATTCTTAGTTTTAAGTAGTAGGTTTTGGTTAAATAAAAAATACCACAGTACAAGCCACAAGTGTTTAGTCATGAAGTCAAAAGTATAAATAATATAAATATTAGCTTTTAATTAGACTGTTTACCTCTAAAAAACCTTACAACTAACAAAATCCACCAACATTTTCTTGCTTTTAGCTTGCTAGCTAAAAGTACTATAAAACTCACTGTACTATAAATAAAAATTAATAAACGACTAAAGTCCAAAACCAAAAATCCATCTCTCGTACTTCAATCCTAACTCTAAATAAAAATAAAAATAAACAAAAAACCCAACCAACTAATATATAGTGCCACTAATACTTGCTTTACTTGAAGCTTTGCCTGTGTTAAAGAGGGTGTGAAGAGGAGCCATGAAACAGCTGAATCCCTGTTCCTTTGTCAATTGAGAGCTGCTCTACTGTGCCAGGGCCATCCTCTGGAAGGCAGGAGGGTGTTTGCATGTGCTTGTCCTCTGAGTGTCTGATGGGAGTCTGAGACTTACTAAGAAAAGTCAGAGAATTGCTCAAGACAAAACCTGAATTCCACCAGCCCAGGAGATGCCGGTGCCAAAGCCAGCTCTGGGTTACAGGATGCAGGGAAGAAGGAATTACCAAGATAAATTTTTCACCAGTGTGGGCAGACTGAAATGTTGGCTCGTAAAAACCAAAGCAGGTATGCACAGGTAAACACAGTCAGGATGCTCCAGATCCTTCAGCTTTTTCTCTGATTTTTGCTCTGACATTCTTCACTCTTGGCTTTCTGCAGCCCTGCAGAGAAGGAAATCATTTGATCCGTGCAGACAGTTAGGTGTAGCCAGCGGGAATCCATTCTTTTCTCTGCTGCTCTCTGGAAATTAGCATTAATTGACGGTCATTAGCTGAGAAGTGCCTCTAATCAGTCAACTCCTTATCAAGCTTTACATTCACTTATTCTAGAAATCACAGTCAACTCCTCTGCCTTGCCATTGCCCATGGCAGTTGAATAAAAGGGGGAAAGAATAAAAGTCTGGTGTCAGACTCAGCCCCTCTGCTGTAAAAATAAAACCCCCATCATCAGCAATCTTTTCTTCAGCCACCTATGGGACTTTGTGGGTTCAGTCCTGAGATTTCACTCAAGGGTTTGACAAAATTCTGCTTCAGAATGGACTCTTTTAAATGCCTAAAAGTGTTGCTCAAATTTAACAATCTGTAATTTTAACAGATGCCTTTGTAATTAATTATCATCAGGAAATCACTATTTACTAGATTTTGACCACTGCCAAAATCCAAAAGTTTCCACAGGATGAGCTGTGCTCCCCAAACAGGAGTTAGTTATCCCAGATAATATAGGGAAAGCATGGAAAGCCCACTTTTCCTCTTGTAAAACCCTTGTGGTGCTGTGATAAGACAGAAGACTTTTCATTTTGGCAGGTTTTGCCTGTGAAATCCCCAGACAGAGAACACAACAGGAGCCAATTGACAACTTCAGCATTGACTTGGCAGTGATGTTTGCAGAGAGGGTCAATCATTCCAGCTCCCAAACACAGAAGGAGTTGAAAAAGAAAAGAGTTGAAAAAGTGAATGCATTAGAAAGTTGAATGATTGAATTTTAGGGATGTTTGCAGTTGAATCACCAGCAAAAAGTTTATGTGCTGTTCTCTGCAGCCAACAGCCCAATTTATAATTAATATTCGAGAATATTATTTAATGTTATGATATTTTAGGGATGATAGGGATGTATTTCTATTTTCTCTGATTCAGGAAAAAAAAAGACATGGTAAGTATAATTGCTTAAAGGGAAAGTTGAGACAGACACTCCCATAGGAAGACAACAGAACTTTAACCAGCTGCTGTCAGAGAAAATTCTAATATTTTACCACCAGAAATCATTCATGTTTCAAGAGATAGATCACCGAAGAAATTTTTTTGGGGCAGAAATGAAGAATTCAATTGAGAGAAAAAGGACAATGTTGCAGACACACCTTGCCTGAGGTTCCTGGTGAGCAGTGGCTCCAGACCAGCACACTTTGTTTCCTTCTCTCCTTTATCCCTGGGCTTTCCTTGCCCATGGCCTCTATTCCTTTGCTCCCCTGGCATTATTATTTATGTCTCTGCAACACTCTCAGTTGGTAGATCCCTCTTTGTGAGAAACCGTTGGGTTTGATACGGTTTTGGAGGAAGGGGAAAATACAAGTTTTGCTTTTTTGGCGGGGTGCCACTTCACAAGCTTTCTTCCTTTTATCACTACTTCTTATTCTTGCCTGAAATGAGTGGCAGTAACAGCTCCCTGAGAGTAGGAGGGGAAAACTGCGAGGATGAAAACACAGTAAAAGTCTTTAAAAACACTGGTGACTCTTTTGATATCTTTTTTACACACAAATGAGATCCACTGCTATAGGATTAACACAGATGTGAGATCCGTGGTTTTAGGCAAACAGGATGTTTTGATGAAAAATGGAGATATTAAGAAGTGAGGGGGGTGAGGAGAGGGGGTGGAATTATTTGGGGAAGGTTCCTGTGTTATCCTTTGAGGAGACTGTGTGATGAGATGATGTGTTAGACTTCTGTGTTTTTGTAGCCTATTTCCATTATTTGTAGTCTATGACATTTTTAGGTTCCAGCATGGAATGCCACAGGAAAGGAGGCAGATCTCAGTGGGAAACAATCACTCTCCTTCCAGGAAGGACAGCTCACATGGGAAGGGAAGAGAAAAGAGAAGAGAAGAGAAGAGAAGAGAAGAGAAGAGAAGAGAAGAGAAGAGAAGAGAAGAGAAGAGAAGAGAAGAGAAGAGAAGAGAANGAAGAGAAGAGAAGAGAAGAGAAGAGAAGAGAAGAGAAGAGAAGAGAAGAGAAGAGAAGAGAAGAGAAGAGAAGAGAGAGAAGAGAAGAGATCTCAACAATACAATGCTGAAGGCCATCAAGGGACAGAAGCCCATGGCTGAAATGTTCTGCTTCCCTCATACCTGGTATTTTATGGTGGGGAGCTCAGAGTGCTTTCTAGACAATCTATTAAATCCCCTTTTCCACAACCCTAACCTGCTGGCTTTTCTCTGGTCAACTCTGAGCTACCTACTCCATGTAGAAACAGAACAGGTTGGAAATCCTGTCTTGTGACTTACAGGTCTCCTGAGCCAAGGAATACTGAATCCTGGATAAAAGGCACTCATGAACCCTCCCATTGGGAACAGATATCTCAGAAGGGTTGGCCTAAATCATTGATAACTGGGATGGAGAAGACAAAATGTTGTTTTCATGCAGCTAGACACAATCACTCAAGTTTATATTTTCTGGTTAGAAATTCAGAAGAAGACCTCACTCATCCAAAGCCAGGGTGGGTGATTTGTGATCTAGAAGAGCCAGTTTCTCTCTGATGGCCTCAAATGGGCCTGGAGGTGTGTGACTCAGGTGGTGAGTGGAGGTGGCTGCCTTTGGAGGTGACAGGACAAGTCGTGGGGGAGGCAAAGACATTTCAAAGTCCAGACTCAGTTTATTCATTAATTAGGAGTCCAAGTGCCCATCCCTGGAGTACAAGGGCTTGATTCACTCAGCTTAATGAGAGCTGCTGGAGATTTCTAATGGAGTCAGCTGTGACCTCCTGGATCAGCAGCCAGGCACGATGCTCTAAATTGCCCCATTTAACACCTAAAAATAAGGTTAGAGAGGTAGCCTCGAGGTTTCCATGGGCCTGACCACTACCTCAGGTGAGAGAAATCCATGTTGGTCAGGAGCCACTCGTCACTTCATTCTGCAGACTGCCACAATCTTCAATTTGAGTGTTGCAGAGAAGGCACCATGCTGGAGGTCATTGCTGGGCTGATCAAAAGCTTGGTCATTAAAAGTAAGCAATAAACACAAAACTCACCAGGTTTCACACACATTCCTGCAGTGAGCAAGGGCTGAATGTCTCCCACCATAATATTTCATCTGAAGAAATGGCACCTGAGTGTTTCTCTCTCTCTCCTCAGCATCCTGCCTTTGGAATCACATTCTGCCTGGTCAGCCTGTTCCTCTCCAGGCATTCCAACCAGCTGATCCTGTGGAAAGAGTACAGCTTAATTGCTCTGACCTTGACAAAAGTATAAAAGCACAGGAAAAAAGGGATGAAAAAGGAGCCATGTTCTTCACTTGTTAGTGTCAATTCATAATAGTTAAAATGAGCTGAATTAAATGATTGCATTTAAAATGAGGGTTTTTTCATTATAATCTCTCTCAATAGAAGCCTAAATGGAAGATACATTATTTTTCTTCTTCCTTTCTTTTTCCTAAAGCAGAGAATAATTTTATCTTTCCCAAACAAAGAAGTCTTATTGTGCAAAATCCTAACTAGCAGAAAACATCTATTGTGCTACATGATTTCAGGTATTATCCTCTGTGTGTAAAAGATACAGATATGTTGAAAAAAAGCAACAAGCTCCTAATTTAACTCTTTCCTGAGACCAAGCTCTTCCATATTTCTGAACAAAAGGGGTGAACATCATCTTGGTGCAGCAGGTGAATGTGTCCCACATCCTGCTGACCTCCAAATGGTGTCTGGGAATTGTGTGGAAAAGGGCAAGCTGACCCGACTCATAGGGAATTAGAACTTGGAGTTTTCCAGGGTTTTTCACCCCAGATTTCATTCCTCTGATATGTCCCCAGCTGGTGCTGCTTCTCAGCAAAGACTCTCACGAGTTGTGTGTGGTTTTATAGAGCTCGTTGTGATTTACCCAAATGTGGTTGGCCAGTTTTGCAGAGGATATTGCCACAGAAATATTTCCACCCACACTGGCATGCTTCTGGCAATCTACACCAGTTGGTTACTTTTTTAAAATTGCCTTTTCACAGAAATTTAATTGCAACAGCAGGAGAGCAGCCCCAGAGCTGGGACATGCTGTCTCCCCTTCCAACCCAGGCAGTTTCATCCTAATGACATTGTTGGATTCACCCTTGGGTTTGGCTTGGACAGCCTATGAAGAGCATTTCAGAGTAATTTGTGTGCCATTAATATTCTATAAGGTGACTCAGAGACGTAGAAGACTCAGCAGAGATCTGGAAACTGCAATTGCCAAGCAAGCAAGCAAGATGCTCATCACTTCTGCCAGTAGTGGTACAGTGGGTCCTGGAATTAGGGTTTATTTGGGTTGTGCTGATCTTTAGGTTTTCTGAGTGTATTTAATGTAAAAACACCCCCATTAAAAAAATAATATATCTATATATCTATATATCTATATATCTATATATCTATATATCTATATATCTATATATCTATATATCTATATCTTGTTGTATGTTCTGAGTGTATGTAATAGACTATACGTGGTAAATAAGAACTAGAGAGACAAATTGTCACCAACCCATCCATAAAACAGCCAGTAATGATGAACACCTCATTATATCCTTCCTGTGGGATGAGACACTGCAGATGCACACAGGACCTGCTGTCTTCTCCTCTGAGTCACCTGCCCTTTGCAGTCAGAATTTGGACTGTGTGGCTCCCCAGCAGCTCCAGTCTCCTGATCTCTGCTCCCAGGAGGGGACAATTTGTGCAAGGTGCATCCCTCACCTCCTCTGTTCTTCTTATTTAGATACTGGGCAAATGCTTTTCCAGAGGAGCCTAGAAGATTCCCTAGAAATGTTTTTCCTAACAAGGTGACATTCTCTCCAGTTCTCTAAAGCAGCTCTGGAAATGTGTAAAGATAAGCTCTGCTTGGAGTCTACCAGCAATTTTCTTAAAAGATACTGATCCCATCTCCAAAACCCTGATGGTGTGATGGTCTGAGAGGCAGTGCTGACATTGCTACTGCAACACTATTTTTTTTATTCTTGGAGAAGTTTAATATATTCAAGTACTGTGTGTACATAATTTCTCCATCTCACCTCATTTACCCACTTGCAATTTACCAGATCCTGTCTTGTAGTGTTCCTGCCCCTGGGCTCTCCTCATTCCTGCACAAGGAATTTCTTAGCACATCACAAGGAACCTTGGAAGGTGCAAGGGAAATGAATAAATAAATCCATGGCACCACGTGGAGCCCTCTCAGTCCCGTCAGGCTGTGGCCATGTGTGCTGTCCTCGCATTTTCACACCAGACATTAGCACAATGCAAATGTGAGACAGAAAAGCCTCATGTACAGTCACAAGCTCTGAAAATCCATCCTGTGAACTAATGAACAGACTGGGGTTTATTTGGTTTATTGGAGTACAGTCACTTGAAGCAACAAGCTTGTGAGGGGGAGTAGAACAGTGTTTTTACTGCAGGGATCACTAATTACCCCAGAGAAATGAGTGATCTTCACTGCAGACCAGCCCTTATCACTCTCTGTGCCTGAATAAGGTGAAGCCTGGAAGTGGAACTGGGAGCTCTGACCCAGATAGCTGATAAACCTGCTTTAGCCTAATTACAGATGAAGTGATTAATTGAAGAATAGGAATTAAATTTTACCCTGTGATTTTTTTTCTTGCCTGCCAAAGAGATGCATCCAGGACCTGTACAGGCAGGTGAACATGGATTTTTTTTCCTCTGGCAGTAAAAATCTGTTACAGCCTGGAAGGGGGAAGAACACCTGAAAACTTTGTGTATCCAGAGGAGAAAAAAAAAGACCATCTAGGTCTGAATCTCAGGTCCCAGGGGCAATATGGGCTCAGCATTTCCCAGGCTGACTTATTTTCCATTTTCTTTCACAATTCTGACTTTCTGGGTCTGGAGCTCTGGCACACAGATATTTTGGAGCACAGAACTGTGTCCATTTCCATGGATCTCAATGTAATCAATCAAAGTCTTCTTGGTGTTTCAAAGTATTTAAAGGGTGGCTGCAGAGATGGAGATTCACTTTTTATAGGGAGCCACATGGAAAAGATGAGGGGTGATGGGTACAAGTTATTCCTGGGGAGCCTCCAACTGGACACAAGAGGAAAATTTATCTCAGTGAGAGCCATCAGCACTGGAATAATACTTCTCAGGGAGATGGTGGATTCCCAACACTGGACATTTTTGTGATTCTTTTGGACAGGGTGCTGGACCATCTTGTCTGGACTGTGCTTTTTCAAAGAAATATTGGACCAGATGATCCTTGAGGTGTCTTCCAACCTGGTATTTTGTGATTCCGTGATGTGTAGGTTGGGATGAGCTGCCCAGTTGTGGATTTCTTTGTTCTTTCATCCTTTTCCTGGGTGTTTCTAAGCTGTTGAGCTTCGTGCAGAGCTGTGTGGACATGGCCTTAGGGACCCTGTAGGGAGCTTTTCCTTTGTCTTTCCTGCTTTGGTGGTTTCCAAGCTGATGGAAGGATCAAGATAATAACTTGTGGGAGATTCTACAGCAAAACAAAGTTCAGTCTAAAAATATCTTCAGCTTATGGCTGGAGTATTTAATCCAGGTTTCAATGAACTCTCCCTGTGAGTTTCCCAGCCCCATGCTGGTTTGTAGGGCTTTGTGTCCTCACATCTCTAAAGAACTCACGAGACCAGAGACCAGCTTCCCTCAGCACCTGCAGACACAGCAGGTCCAACCATCAGAAAACCTGGTTATTTTCTCTTTGTTTGCCCAAGTTTCTGTTGCCTTCCTTCTGAGTCAACACTGACCCCAGACAAAAATAAACATGAAACATTTTGCTTTCTCCCCATCACTCAAACCCATCACACTCCCAGACATACATCCTCCATTCCCTGGCAAGCATCCTGAATTCCATATGCACTGGGGACAACAAGGAAGCCTTGCTTTTCTGCCAGATTTAGCAACTGGTTACAATCTGTGTGATTGCTCAAAATCACGCTGAATTTTGAAGGCTGAGTAGCAGCTTGGAGGCATTTGCTCCTGGAGGAAACATCCTGTGCACCCAACAGTTTGTTTACTTTCTATAGACCCACCGGTTAATTTAATCAAAGTTATTTCTACTTCCAACTCTTTTTTTTTTGGCCTTTGAACCTTGTTCATGACAGCCCTTCTGTATTTCCCACTGCTAATTTTAGCCAGTGTTTTCCTAGGAAGTACTGGCTGTGCTAGCAGAGGGTCAGCCCAGGCCAGGGACCCCTTCACAGTGCCTGAGTGCCAGTTTGGGGTTTGTGGGAAGCTCTTTACCTGTACTAACAGGGTAAAACCACAGCTCACAGTCCAGCAAATGTGACATCTTAGTTCAACTCAGGTTTAAAAGCTGTTTTGGCCAGAGATTCATTCCTTGATATTCTCCCTGGCAAAAAAGCAGCTCTGGCTCCTGGATCTGCCATAGGGATAAAAAACCAGATGCTTGGCTTTACCTCGTGGGTTTGTGCACTGATCCCAAAAAACAGCTGTGAACCTGAGGCTGGAGCAGGTTTGTGTAATTTGGTGGATTGAGGGGAAAGAAAAGCAGAGGGAGGTGGAAGAGGGAGGAGTTTGATGGGGTTTATTAACTGATGTGGTGAGCAAGATGGAAAGGGCTTCAGGATGGCACTTATTTGTGGTCTGGAAAAGGGAAAATTCCCGGGGGTTCTA